CTGTTTACATTCAGATTTTCCCCTTTGACATCACTTCCTGTTTCTTTACGCGTGAATATCTCAACAACTGTTATCTCAGCAGCATGAAATCTTTTTTACAATATGTTATCAGTGTTATCTTTCCAAAAATACATTCATATTTATTATAAAAATTTGATGTCACAGGCACTTTAAACCTTTGAATAAAACATGCAGCTGTAGCCACAGATACATCAAGCTGCTTGGAAATGGTCTGAAAGTGAGACTCGTCAGTAACTTTCTTTGTATTTTCCTGAAAGAAACACTCTGTTTTCAGGTCCCTGTGGTCCATGTTCAGTGAGGTACACACCATGTCACCAAACAGCCCTATGACTACCTGTCTCTATGGTCAACTATTGAACGACTTCAGATTTTTTAAGTTCGATGTCAACATGATACAAGTCGAGTCGACTGCGACTGGTCGATGTGACGTCATAGGCAGGTGCGCCTGCAGGACTTTATCAGAGGGTTCGCAAAACACCCATCACTGCACCTGTCTCACACACAGGCCACATGTGCGCGATGCGCGTGGCACACAAAAACAGCAACATGGCACCGCATTCCTAACAACCAGGTCCTGACTGATCAACACAAGGCCACATGAGCACAATGCGCATTGCATGTCGCTGAAACACAGCGCATCTGTGATCTGTCCGACACGCGCCTAGCGTACACAATGCAACACACACAGAGTCCCGCTTTTGACTCGGTCACCTTACGATGAGTCAAAAAAAGAAAATAAAAAATCGACAAATGCTATTTAGTAGCTGCAGTTTGCAACATATAATGCCTTCTTATTTCTCTCTCCCCCTCCTTTGCAGGAGGAGAGGAGAGGAGAGAAATGCGATGTCAGCGGTTAATTAAAATGCACCACTGCTAAAACTATCATTAAATAAAAACAGTGCAATAATATAAATTTAATGTATGCAGACTGTAATGGAAACTATGTCAAAACAAACAAACATAAAAAACAAAAATGCAGCAAATCAAAGACTGGGAGAAGAGTGGGGTCAGTGAAAGATGTCAGAGGTTTTTTTTTCTCTAAAGCGGGAAACACCGCATGGAGCGACACTGTTAAAGTAATTCAAGAAACTTTCAGCTAAGAAAACTGCCTGCCAATCTATAGACATGTTTTGCTCAAACTTGATGACTGCTCAACTGATCAGTCAATAATATGGCCAACCTGTGGCTGAGAGCTGCTGGCTGATGTGGGAGAGCTGTGGAGGTGAAGGCAGAAAAGCTTTGTCCACGAGAGGAGAGATTTCCAGGCTGAGGTTCTGTGTCTGTTAGTTACATCCAGAGGAGGAGGCGTAGCAACAGCATTTACTTTATTTCTACACTTTTCTAGCTCCACTTTGCAAAGACTCTGCCCGCTCCTCTACTTCCATCTACTTGGAATCCACTTTGTAGCCAGCAGTCATGTGACTGCGACTAGTCAACGTGAAATTTAAAAACTCGCAAGATTTCCTAGAGTCGACTAGTCGACTTGTTGGTTCAACCCCTATGGTCAACTAAGTTTCAGTCTTCCCTAGGGGAACCACAATTGTTGTGAAGACCATTTCATTAGTTTTGTTTTTAAATAAAATCAGTTGAACCAAATTTCAAAAAGCAATTTTTGGAACTTAATTGAATTTCCGTATATTTTTTCTTCTTCTTTTGACTGCTTTTGTTATTTCAGCGATCTTTGTGGGTTTTTATTTATTTAACAAAAGGGTACAAATTTAGTCAGTGTACATCCAGTGATTACTTTCTGAGAAATTCAATAAACCCGGTCCAGTGGAAAAAAAAAAAAAAGGAAAAAAATTGTATAGGTCTTCTGGACGGGTTCTTCTCTAAAGAAACGTTTCGTCTCTTCTCCAAGAGACTTCAGTCTGAGAGTTTCAGGCAAAATTCAGGCTTTTAAGCCCTGCCTCCATGTGACTGATGCTCACATCACATTTACATCATTTACAGGCCAGCGGTCACTCTTTCAGAGATGAGGATGTTCTCATTCTTGATAGAGAGGAACGT